CGCACGGACCAACGCGCACAGCCTGCCCTAAATCTTCCCATGTATATAAACCAGCCTCTGCTGCCCTAGGGACCTCAGTTTCGACCTCTTGTCCCTAGGTCAGTAAGCTCTCCTGTACTTACTTCTTTTACTTACTAACTAATACATTCTTGTCCCTAGCCTTAGGTTTGAGCCTAGCTCACCATCGCTTCGGTAAGATAAGTCGAACGCCCCCAGCGTTTGGTTTTCCCCTGTCACTCGACCCTAAGTCGCGACATTAGGTCGAAACTGCTCAACGCTGCCGGCGTTCCAAAACAAACACTCATCTTTCCTCTCCTATAGGTTGGGTGGTGCGCACCCCTACTATACCCTACGATACTTAGATAACCTACGATACATCGCCACCACTTAAGGGACAAACTCTTCGGTATCTGCACTTCAGTGGGCGATACTTGTCCTCACGGACGCGTGGCTTAGGTTCCTGCTGCATACTAGCCAAAAGCAGTACTGGGCCCCACGTGAACTGCGAACCCTAGTGTTACCTCGGGCGCCGTAGGTGTAAGCTAGCTAGCACGGCCTTTCATAGCACGCGCACCTCCCCTTCCTCCCCCCATCAACGTGGCTGACGAATTCTTCGACTGCTCTCGACTTGAGCACGCCTTCGATACCCAGGATCAGGTTGACGTCTCTCGTGACGACCCAAAGAGCAGCGAAGACAGACCTCCCTTCTTCATCTGTGATCGGCAACCGTGCCCTAATCGCACTCCACGGTCCATCACTGTTGACGAAGGGCACTTCGTACCAATCCGACGAGTCCAACACCCTCGCGGCCCTGCACTCCGATACGCTGGCACCTCGAGATCTACATCTTGCCACGTCACTCCCGTCCCATCCCGACCTGCCTCGCCAGGCACCCGCATCCCCCAACCTGTCGCCAGTACAGGTCAAGCGCGAGGAGATCCCCATCTCCCTCGAGGAACTGAGGCAGTCGCACAGCCTACAGCGACCCCTCAAGCGATCCCCCAGCCCTCCCTGGGGCCGCGGTTGGAAAGGCCTCCCAAGACCGAGCCCCGCGACACTCCGCCGCATTCTTGGGCCAGCTCGTCGTCAGCGGTCACCACCTCGACTTCAGTCCCTGTCCTACGTCACCCCGCCTCCGGGCTTCCTCAACCGACTTCACCGCCGTCGCCGCCGCGAGGCCGCTCAAGCACTCGTTCCTCAAGAAGTCCGCCCGGCGGACAGTCACAACAGTCGCCTTCGTCCGCGGGCAGTCCTTCGTCCCCCTCGTCGCCGATAATGTCCTCTCCCGCTGCCGTACCTGATAAGGAGACGTTGAAGCTCCTCCTCCCGCTCCGATACGATGGGAAGTCGGTGATCGAATGCAACCGCTTCATCTCGCAGTTGCTCATCTACTGGATGATCAACACGGCCCTCTCTTCCCTCGAGCTGAAGATCCAGGTTGCCCTCAGTCTCCTCGATGGTGACGCGCGAGCTTGGGCCACCCCCATCTTCTCCCAGCTTGCCTCCGTCCAAATCGGGATCCAGGGAGCAACAACCCCCTTCGTCGACGAAAAAGCCTTCCTTCAGGCATTCAAGGCCCGTTTTGGCAACCTCGACGACGCCGCCGCGGCACAGGTAGAGCTTACCAAGCTCTGCTCCGACAAAACCATGCGCGAAAAGCGCACCACCGCAGAATTCTCTGCGCTGTTCAAGGGTCCGGCAGACCGTTCCGGGTATGGGAACCTGGAACTACGCGACAAGTACCTGAGCGGCATCCCTTCCCGCGTCTATCGCAAACTCGAGCTCGAGACCTTCGCCACGTGGCAAGCCGCTGACAAGCGCGCCACCGAGGTCGAGCAAATCCTCGACGTTAGCCGGGCTCGTCGGCCCGAGCTAAATAACTTCTTCTCGGCCCGAGGTCGAGGACGCGGTGGGGCACGTGGTGGTGCACCCTCGTCACACGCAGCTTCGGCCAGCATCAATGCGGCCGTCGGAAAAGGAAACTTCCCCGGCACGTGCTTCGGCTGTGGGAAACAAGGGTACCGACGCTTCGAGTGCCCCAATTGTAAGGACAAGCCTTACACAAAACGTGCCGACGCGCGGGCTACGGTTGCCTCGGGCTCCACCCAGGCTGCGACAAGCGCCCCCATCACGACGACACCCTCGGCAAGTATAAGTACCGCTTCAGCGAAATCCGAGCAATCGGAGCTGGCAGACTTAATGGCACAGGTGAAGTCGATGCGCGAGGAGCTCGAACACTATCGGGCGATGAAGGAGGAGGGTTTTTGATCCGGTCCGCGCTTCGTGCCGCACGCGTCGGGCCGGGTATATCATGTAATCGTTATAATGTATTATCGACTGCAATGGTGTATGAGTTGGACCAGGGGTCCCAGCACTTTCACATTCCAGTTCGACTTCAAGGAAAAAGACGGCACAAGGACGTAATCGCTATGGTGGACAGCGGGGCCACCACGAAGTTCATTAACAAGCGATTCATTATCGAGAATAAGGTGCAAACACGGAAGTTGAAGGAACCAATTCCGCTGTACAATATTGACGGCACCCTGAACAAGGACGGAAGCATCTCGGAGGTAGCAGTACTACAGATGCATATAGGAGAGCACGTCGAGAAGACGGTGTTCACGGTCACGGACATCGGTCCAGAAGATGTGATCGTCGGGTTGGATTGGCTACGCGAGCACAACCCAGAAATAGATTGGGAGAAGGGCTCCCTCAAATTGTCGCGATGCCCTGAAACGTGCAGTGCCAGGAGGATTGGCCGAATGGAGCAAGCAGCGACTGTGCGTGATATGGGGGTCAGGCCCACGGCGCGCAGGCGTTCGCCGAAGTCCAAACGGTCGGTGATAGGTGCCTGCTGGAGTCAGGTACTCCCGGACTTTGAACCCGAAGAAGATCTGGTGGAGGTAGAGTGGGATGAGGTCGATTTGATCGAAGCCTGGGAGCAAGGTGTCACGCTTCCTGGCGCTCCTCAGCTGTTCGTTGCGGCAGGACATACATACTCCCAGCTGTTCGCGGAGGAAGAGATCAAAAAGAAGGTCGTTAAGACCGCCGAGGAGTCGGTGCCCAAGCAGTACCACGAGTTCCTGAATGTCTTCTCCAAGGAAGCATCAGAACGGTTACCTGAAAGGAAGCCGTACGATCACGCAATCGAACTCGTGCCCGGCTATTCAACATTCCATTCGAAGGTGTACCCCCTATCGAACAACGAGCAGGAGGAGCTTGACAAGTTCCTCAAGGAACAACTAGCGAAGGGTTACATACGGGAATCGAAGTCACCCATCTCGTCCCCCTTCTTCTTCATCAAAAAGAAGGAAGGGACGCTTCGACCCGTGCAGGACTACCGCCGATTGAACGCGATCACGGTCAAAAATCGTTATCCCTTGCCGTTGATCGCCGAGATGGTGGATAAGCTCCGCGGCGCTACGCTCTTCACAAAGTTCGATGTCCGATGGGGATACAACAACGTCCGGATCAAAGCCGGTGATGAGTGGAAGGCGGCCTTCGTGACTAACCGGGGGCTGTACGAACCCCTGGTGATGTTCTTCGGTCTCACCAACTCCCCCGCCACTTTCCAGGCAATGATGAACGAGATCTTCCACGATCTCATCGTCGGTGGCAAGATCCTCGTGTACTTGGATGACATACTCATCTTCTCCACCAACAAAGAGGAGCATGAAAAGGTCACGCGCGAGGTTCTGCGTCGCCTTCAGGACAACGATCTGTTCCTAAAGCCTGAGAAGTGCGAGTGGGACGTTCCCAAAGTTGACTACGTCGGCTATGTGTTCGGTGGCGATGAGGTGGCGATGGATCCCGCGAAGCTGAAAGGAATCAACGAGTGGCCGGTGCCCCAGAACAAAAAAGACGTTCAGAAGTTCCGGGGGTTCTCCAATTTCTACCGCTGCTTCATTAAGGACTTCGCTAAGATCTCGCGACCACTCGACCGACTCACAGGGAACGACCCATGGCATTGGGGCGAGGAAGAGCAGCATGCCTTCGATGAGCTCAAGCGGCTCTTTGCGACGACTCCCGTCTTGGCACTGTACGATCCCAATCGAGAGACGCGCATTGAGGTTGATGCCTCGGGCTATGCCACGGGTGGCGTATTGATGCAGAAGCAGGATGACGGCAAATGGCATCCCATCGCCTTCAGATCCCATGCGATGGATCCGGCACAGCGGAACTACGAGATCTACGATAAGGAGATGCTCGCGATCATTGAGGCACTGGACGATTGGCGCCACTATCTCGAGGGGTTACCCAATCAGTTCGAGATCGTAACCGATCATAAGAACCTCGAGTACTGGCGTACATCCCAGCATCTCACGCGCCGTCAAGCGCGATGGTCGCTGTTCCTGGCTCGCTTCGACTTCCGCATCACACACAAGGCCGGGACGTCTAATGGAAAGGCCAATGCCCTGTCGCGTCGATCAGACCATCAGATCGGCGATGAGGACGATAACACCGATCAGGTGGTTCTCAAGCCGGAGCGCTTCCGCATCGCCTCCGCCAGGCGCGGTCATGCCTCAGTGACAGCTGATCAGTCGCTTCTGAAGCGCATCAGGGAATGTTCGGAGAAGGATCGGGAGGTGGCCGAGGCACTTGAAAAGGTGCAGGACCTCGGGCCGCCCCGGCTGCAAAGGGGTTTTGAGGAGTGGAATGCCGAACAAGGGCTCCTGCTGTTCCGCGGGTGCATGTACGTCCCAAAGAACGCAGAGCTCCGGCGGGATATAGTCAAGATCCACCACGACTCGCCGATTGCCGGTCATGGCGGTCGTGCCAAAACCCTGGAGCTCGTATCGCGGAATTACTCGCTGGCCTGGGATGTCCAAGTTTGTCAATGAGTACGTAAGCACTTGTGACGTGTGCAACCGTACCAAGACATTCCCAGCCAAGCCCCAGGTCCGCTGA